TGCGCGCCGACGCCGTACGAGCTTGCCGTGCTGCACACCGAGGCCAGATGTGAGGTCCTGCGGATCCGGAGTCGGCGGCCCGTGGCCCGTTGTCTCCCGTGGGATCTCCTTCAGGAGGGGAAAAAACACACAGACACAATTAATCCTCGACTCCAAGGAAGATATGGGAAAATATCAGAAGTGGGGGTGAAGACAGAAACCCAGAAGATATGGGAAAATATGGGAAGTCCTTTTATGTGTGTGTATCTATTTGTATGTCCCAGGGCCCCTTCACTCTTTTTTAGAATCCAGCTGCTTGCGGCAGACCCCGCCGCCGTGCCCGTGCAGCAGCGCAGCAGGAAGGAGGCTGAGCGCAGGAGCAGCGCAGTTCCGACGAGTAGTCTGCATTGGGGCGGGTCGTGATTTCGACCTCGTCTTCGTCCGCGCGGTGGGAGGAGAAGGAGGAGGAGGAGGAGGAGACGGAAAAAATAAGGATTAGGGGGAGAAGTCACCTTGGGGCCTTCTTGGGGCTTCCTGGAGGCCTCCTGGGAGCTTCCCGAAATCTTCTTCGGGGCCTCATGCGGCGTGGGCCTCTTGGGGCCTCTTGGGCCGTCTGACCCCTATGGAGGCAGTCTTGGGGGCCTCTAGGCCGCGTTGGTGCCCTCTTGAAGCGGTTCACGGCCGTCTTGGAGCCCTCTTGGGAGCCCCTTGGGTGATCTTTGGGTCCTTTTGGGCCGACTTTGGGGCCCTCTTGGGGGCGTCTTGGGTTGTCTTGGAGCTATCTTGGAGGCCTCGTGGAGGCTTCTTGGGCCGTCTTGGGCGGTTGGAAGCCCGAAAAGGTGAGATCCTCAACATCTTTCAAACAGTTAAGGAGATTCACAGGTGTTGGCCTCCTCGGTCTCTCCAGGAGGGCCTCTTGGAGACCTCTTGGGCCGTCTTGGGGGGCTCATTGATCTGTCTTGCGGCTGTCTTGGGAGCCTCTTGAGCCGTCTTGGGCAGGCCTCAAGACAGATCAAGAGGCCTCCAAGGCGGCCCAAGAGGTCTCCAAGAGGCCTTCCAGGACAGCACGAGGAGGCCAATACCATGGATGTTCCGTAGGTTGTTAGAGGATTCTGAGGTCCTGGCATGTTTGGGTTTCCGACCGCCCAAGACAGCCCAAGAGGCCTTTCTGGGCCGTCTTGTTGCTTTCCTGGAGCGCTTCAAGGCCGTCTTGGGGCCATCTTGGGGGCCCCTTGGGTTGTCTTGCATCTATATTCGAGACCTCGTGGAGGCTTCTTCGGCCGTCTTGGGCGGTTGGTAACCCGAAAAGGTGAGAACCTCAACATCTTTCAATCACCTAAGGATATTCACAGGTGTTGGCCTCCTCAGTCTGCAGGAGGCCTCTTGGAGACCTCTTGGGCCGTCTTGGGGGCTTCTTGATCTGCCTTGAGGCTATCTTGGGAGCCTCTTGAGCCGTCTTGGGCAGTCTTGGCGTCATCTTGGTTGCCTTGAAGGCCGTCCTGGAGGCCATGAGGCTCCCAAGAAGGCCTCAAGGCAGATCAAGATGCCCCCAAGACAGCCAAAGAGGTCTCCAAGAGGCCCTCCAGGACAGCCCGAGGAGGCCAACACCATTGATGTTCCGTAGGTTGTTGAAGAATTTTGAGGTTCTGTCATGTTTGGGTTTCCGACCGCCCAAAACAGCCCAATAGGCCCTTTTGGGCCGTCTTGTTGTTCTCCTGGAGTGTTTCAAGGCAGTCTCGGGGCCCTCGTTGGGAGCCCCATGGGCGATCTATGGGTTCTCTTGTGCTGACTGGGGGCCCTCTCGGGGGCCTCTTGGGCTGTCTTGGAGCTACCTTGCAGGCCTCTTGGAGGCTTCTTGGGCCGTCTCGGGCGGTCGGAAACCCGAACAGGCGAGAACCTCAACATCCTTCAAGCACACGAGGGAACTCAGTGGTGTAGGCCCCCCTCGGGCTCTCCAGGAAGGCCTGTTGGAGCTCTCCTGAGCTCTCTCGGGCCGTCTTGGAAGCCTCTGGGCCCTCTTGGGCCTGAGGCTCTCCAGAGAGGCTCTTCAGCTGCCCTGGGCCATCTTGAACCGTTTCGTGTTCGTCCTGGCTGTCTTGGAAGCCGTCTTGGAGGCCATCTTGGTCATCGCCAAAAACAAGTTCAGAAGGGGCGGTGTTTTAGGGGTGCGCGCGGGGAGGGGGGGGTCTTTTTTCAAGGGCCCCCTCGAGGGTGCGAAGTTATTCGCGCTTCGCGGTCCTCGTTCCTTCTCCCCCTCCTCCTCGTCCTCCTATTCTCCCTTTGGGGGGCGGCGCGAGAGCGCGAAGTTATTCGCGCTTCGCGGAGCGCGAAGCGCGAAGTTGGGAGCCCTAGTTTTTTTAAACTCTACAACACCTCCCACACAGACCACGCAACGCATTCTAACACGCCCACTCCGTGCAGGCACGGTGGCAGACTCTCTTATGGTCTCCCAGATGGTCTTCCTTATGGGCACTCGGGTTTTGTGGTTTCCCTTTCAATGCCCTCTACAGTACTCCCAATACAGGCCTCGGAAAAATAGCGAACACTCGTGCCACATTCATGTGTGAACGCCTCCCCCTCCCCCCAATTTTCAAAGTTGGCGGTGGGCCTGATGAGTTGCACCGCGACCGCAGTCTCCCCCCCGCGTGCCAACTTTGAGTTTGGGGGGCCGGGGGGGAAATCACTAATTGTTTCCCTCTACCGTACTGCCCTTCACTCTCTGTGGTTCCCTCTCTGCAGCGCTCTTCTGGCGATCTGCACAGGTAGCGCTGTCTAGGAAGGTATCATGCCTCCAACGGAGGAAGTTGTGATGCTTGCCAGCTCGGGCAACTTGTGCTCTCGGGACGAACCGCCGATGAGCTCGGAGGAGGAGGAGGAGGAGGGGGAGGAGGGGGATGAGGAGGAGGAGGGGGAGGAGGGGGAGGAGGAGGAGGAGGAGGAGGAGAAGGAGGAGGAGGAGGAGGAGGAGGAGGTGGAGGAGTACCGCAGGCCCGCGCCCTCCCGACGCGGCGGTGACGCCGGCGCGCCGGCGCTCGAGGTCGAACGCCCTTGTGGCGCTGGGGCTCGCAGAAGACCACAGGGGCGCCCTCGAGGGCGCGAAGTTGGTCGCGCTTCGCGCTTCGCGGGCTTCACTCCTCCTCCCCCTCCTCCTCGTCCTCCTCTTCGACCCTCTGGGGGCGGCGCGAGAGCACGAAGTTGTTCGCGCTTCGCGCAGCGCGAAGCGCGAAGTTAGGAGCCCTTGAGAAGACATGAGTTGGCGAGAAGTCCAAGCAGAAGACGGGGTCGAGAGCTTCTTGGGGCCTCCGAAAAATACGGTCGGACCGAGGTACAGTCAACCCGCAGAGTAAGGATGCGCGATGAGGATGCAAGGCCCTTGGACGCCCACCTCGAAGCGTTTCGAGCGGGGCGCGGCCAACGAAAGTGCCCAAGGATGGACCCAGGAAGCAAGGATGCGAGGGTACCCTTGGGAGGGATGCCTATCCTTACTCTGCGGGTCGACTGTATAAGATTCAGGTTGGTTCGGTGAGGGTACCCTAATGTTCTTGTGCTTGTTGGATGTTCTTGTGCATCCTGGGGGAGGGCACCCGCGAAGGATCTTCAGTTTGGGCTGGCGGAGGGTCTTCTGTTCTTGAAGGATGGTCTTCTGTCCTAGGTCCGAGCGTACGAGTTGGCGCGAAATCCACGCGGAAGATGAGGTCGATATTATCGTTCAAGGTTGAGCGGTGCACGCGGTGTCAGAATCCAAGGAAGACATCAAGAGGAACCCCAGGGACGGACCCCCAAGAACACCCGCAGGAAACCATAGGGGAAGCCTTTTGGGAGCCCTGAGACAACCCGAGGAAAGAACGGCCACCCTGAGAATTTCCAGGGGAACCCACGAGGAATTCTTTGGGACACCGGAGGATCCGCCAGGGAGCATCGGAGGAATCCATGCCTGAAGACCCAGCGCGACAGATCGAAGCCGCCGCCGACCCGCTAGCATACATAAGAGCTAAAGAACCCAGGAGGAGGACGAGGCGAACACTGGTTATAGAATAGCAGTGAGTTTCAGGTGTTCGTGCATCTCGGGGGGGGGGGTATCCTTGGGAGGCTCGAGGACTGCTTCGCAAACAGCGACGCCACCTTGGAGCCATGTAGGAGGCCATGTAGGCTGTCATTGGCCATCCTGCGCTTTCTTGGGGCCACGCGGGATTCTTTTCAGGCGGTCTAAAGCCCAGACCCCCCGGGCGGGACTTCTCCTGAAATAGAAGCCGCTCTTTCCAAACATCGCAAATCGTGGAGCGAGTGCGTCCGTGGCCCCATTTTGCACTGGCCGAGGCCAGACAGAACAGAACACGTCACACGATAGCGTTTGACGTATCATGTTTCCAGCAAGGCTCCCAGATGCCTCCAGAAGGCGCCCGACGGTGGTTCCGAAGCGGCCCCTGTGCTTTCCAGGCATGCTTCCGAGAGCAGCAGCCAGTGAAACATACGTGTACTTTTGATGTGATGTTGGCGTGCTCGTTTGTTTGACTTCCGATGGGCAACTGAGGCCCGACGATGGCCTCGAGATTGCCCGATCGGACTGTAAGGGGGCCCGTACGTATTGGCTTCAAATATGCCCCCAAGAGCACCCCAAGAGGCCCCCCTGAACCCGTCGTACTCCCCATTGTCCTCGTCCACGTCCTCCCCCACCTCCCCCTCCTCCTCATGTCACCCGCCTCCTCCCGCTCTCCCCCCTCTCCCCCCGTCCTCCCGGCGCGGCTGGCGGCGCAGGGCATGCAGCAGCCGATGGTGCAACAGCAGCAGCAGCAGCAGCCCATGGCCCAGGTCCCCGTGGCGGAGCAGCCGATGATGCGGGGCATGGCGCCGCCACAGTGGTCGGGGATGATGCGGCCGCCTCCGCAGCAGCCGCAGCCGCAGGCGCGCCCCCACAGTCAGCAGGCCCCCGTCCCAGGAGCGGCCGTCGGGCAGGGCGGCGGGCGTGAGAGGATGGGGAGGATGGAGGACGCAGGCACGAGGGGGGATGGACGAGCATCGAAGGAGGAGGGAGGATGGAGGGAGGAGGGAGGAATGATGATGGAGCAGAGGGGGGGGAGAAGTCAAGCGAAAGGAACGTCTCTGGGACGATTTTTAGGCTGGGGAGGCCCGCGCGCGCACGCGCGCGCGCGCGCGTTGCGGCCCCCACCCCCAGTCTGGCGCGCGGCGGGCGCGCCCGCGCGCGGCTCGCGGCCCGGTTCGAGCTCCGCGCCCGCGCGCGGCCCGTCGGCGACAGTCCCCGCCCCACGGGCGACTGGCCTGGCCTCTCCCAGGGCCTGGCTGCGGCCTCCCGCGGCCGCCGCGCGAGCCTCCCGCGGCGGCGCCGAGCTCCACACCGCTGGCACCGCAGACGCGGCACTGCAGGCGCAGGTGGTGGAGGGCTCGGAGCTCGGGGCGCTCCGCTCCGCGCCACAGTTGCAGCACGATGCGCAGGGACGGCTCCTGTGATTCGAGCTCCTTGGGCGTCGCTGGAACCTGAGCGCGCGCGAAGCGCGTGCGCGCGTGGTTCTAGCATGTCGATTGCCCCGGGGCCCGAACGCGGCCCCTGGACGTCGACAATTGGACAACCTTACAGTCAAAAACCCTAATAAGGACGGCGCGACTTTGCTCAGGGTAATTACCCTTGCGTCCTTGCTCTTCCTTGCTCTTGCGTCTCCGTCCTTCCTTGGTTTCGTCTTGGGGTTTTCGTCGTCCGCCGCCCCACAAATCCCAACTTCGGCTTCCAAGGGTCTTGCGTCCTTACCGCGCGTCCTTATTAGGGTTTTTCCCAACCATCCTGTGGTGTTGGGTCCTCGTTTTGAAGAGACGGTGCCCCGCGTCTCCTCTCCTCTCCTCTCCTTCCTTCCTTCCTCCTCCTCCGCCTCCTCCCCCCACCGAGGCTCACAGAGTTGCGCATTGCCTCGTCAGGGTTCGTGTAATAAATGGGCGCGACTCTGTCGTACAGCGTTTTTGGGTGCGGGCAACTGTAGTAGTTGCCATGGTATTGCACCTGCACGTCCACGAGGATCCCGAAGATGTGCTCCCTGAAACAATAGCCATCCTCCCTCCTCCCTCCTCCCACTATCATGGCACACCCCTCACGCGTTTCGTGGCCCCATAGGGAGCTCCACCGAAGGCCCCAGTGGCTGCGTTCGCATGGCGGCGCCGCACCCATTTCGGCACACCCCTCACACGTTTCGGGGCCCCATAGGGAGCTCCACCGAAGGCCCCAGTGGCTGCGTTCGCATGGCGGCGCCGCACCCAATTTGGCACACCCCTCACACGTTTCGTGGCCCCATAGGGAGCTCCACCGAAGGCCCCAGTGGCTGCGTTGCATGGCGGCGCCGAATTTGGCACCCCCTCACATGTTTCCCCATAGGGAGCTCCACCGAAGCCCCAGTGGCTGCGTTCGCATGGCGGCGCCGCACCCATTTCGGCACACCCCTCACACGTTTCGTGGCCCCATAGGGAGCTCCACCGCATAGGGAGCTGCGTTGGCATGGCGGCGCCGCACCCAATTTGGCACACCCCTCACACGTTTCGTGGCCCCCATAGGGAGCTCCACCGAAGGCCCCAGTGGCTGCGTTGGCATGGCGGCGCCGCACCCAATTTGGCACACCCCTCACACGTTTCGTGGCCCCATAGGGAGCTCCACCGAAGGCCCCAGTGGCTGCGTTGGCATGGCGGCGCCGCACCCAATTTGGCACACCCCTCACACGTTTCGTGGCCCCATAGGGAAGCTCCACCGAAGGCCCCAGTGGCTGCGTTGGCATGGCGGCGCCGCACCCAATTTGGCACACCCCTCACACGCTTCGTGGCCCCATAGGGAGCTCCACCGAAGGCCCCAGTGGCTGCGTTGGCATGGCGGCGCCGCACCCATTCGGCACACCCCTCACACGTTTCGTGGCCCCATAGGGAGCTCCACCGAAGGCCCCAGTGCTACCGCCCTCATGCGTCCCGTACGCCCAGGACAGCGTTTCGTGGCACGCCTTTCGTGGCCCCATAAGGAGCCCCACCGAAAGCGGCACCCACAAAGCGTTATTCACAATTGCATATCTGGGTCCTTCGCCAAGATAATTGATTGTATCCTTGATGATCTTCCTGGACGTTGGATGGTTGGGTTTGCTGCCCCGCTCTTTGCCCCCCACCCGAGCGGCGTGGGCCGTCTGCGTCTGGGCCGCCAGGAGTCGCCAACCCTGCGGCGAGCCCCAGCTTCCCCAGCTCAGGCGGGGCGGCGGCTAGCAGCCCTCGTGACGATGTCCTGGCCCAGGCGGCGGCGGCGGCCGTCGTCGTCGTCGTCGTCGTCGTCGTCGTCGTCGCCGTCGCCGTCGTCGTCGTCGTCGTCGTCGTCGTCGTCGTCCTCGTCCTCGTCGTCGTCCTCGTCGTCGTCCTCGTCGCTCTTTTCGGAGGTTTTGCGATTTCGGGGGCTTCGTCGCCACGGCTGAACCCTGGGCTGGGTCCTTGGGAGCGATCTTGAGCAGATTCGAAGGCCCGGGGTGCGGCGCGGAGGAGGAGGAGGAGGAGGAGGAGGAGGAGGAGGAGGAGGAGGAGGAGGAGGAGGAGGAGGAGGAGGAGGAGGAGGGAGGGAGGTCGAGGATCGAGCTTTTGCCGGTGCCTATGGCTACTACTGCTGCTACTGCTGTAACTGCTGCTCCTGCTGCTGCTGCCGCTGCTGCTGCTGCTGCTGCTGCTGCTGCTGCTGCCGCTGCTGCTGCTGCTGCTGCTGTTATCGTGCTGCTGCTACGGGGTTGGCCAGCGTAGGCCCCAAGCAGTTCATTCGTGCACTGAGGATGCGTACAGTCGGGGCGCTGAACAAGGAACCCTTTTCGTTGGGGAGGGGCTCCGTGTTCCTTAATTGTTTCGCAGCTTGCCTTAGGTTGTCCGTAGGTTTTCGATGGGGAATCGAAGTTGAACTTATGGAAAAAAGGGGCCTCGTTCCTTATTTAGGGTTCCTTAGGTCAACGCCCCGACTGTATTTGGTGTAGTCTTTGGGGCATTCTTTCTGTGGTGCAAGCGAGGTGGTGGATTGTACGTGATTCATGCAATGTTTCGGGGATGGACAGACCTCCTACCCTGACAAGTCGATTAAGGAATTGGCCGTTTTCGGTTCGCGAGGGGCGTCGCGGCCGTCATTTTTGCGGGTCCAGGTCCGTCGGTCTCGGTCCCAGGTCGTTTTCACCAAGGGGAGGTCTACTAAAGGGAGGTTTGTCCACCGCCGAATGTTGCGCGATTACGTGGAACAGCCGATGAACACCGAGTCGGATGTACACGAGCAGCTCTCCAGTGCCGTCTTTGCCCTCTGGGCGGCGCTGGGGTTGGGACCGCGGCTGCCTGGCGCTCTGCGCTCTCCAGGGGCTGGACCCACTTGGCCACGGCGAGCCCGAGAGGTGCCCCGGGGCTGGACCTAAACGGTGTTTTCGCGATTTCGTGGGCCGTTTTCGTTTCAATGTTGTTTTGCGGCAAAGGCAGATCGAAGACAAAACGAGGGAAAACGGAAACAAATCGAAAACGAAAAACACCGTTTAGGTTCAGCCCTGAGATGCCCCGTGTGCACGAGGGATAATCGATCCTAGGTCCAGACTTGGGCCTGGGCAGAGAATCGGTGCAGGTGAATCGCTGGCGTCTCCGCCGCAGCCAACTCCGCGGGCACCACCCCCTGCGCCCTTCGCCGCCGCCGCCGCCGCCGCCGCCCCTTGCCCGGCGGCGAGCGGGGGGGGGAAGTGAGAAGGAGGAGGCCTTCTCAGAGGGCTAGGCAGTCCCCCGGCCTTCTGAGAAGTTGCCTGAGCCTCCCCCGAAAGCGCAGAAACCCTGTCAGAAGGCCACAGGGCTTCTGAGAAGTCCCGCCGCCTTTGAGAAGGCCTTCTCCTTCTCACTTCCCCCACTTGCTCGCCGCCGAACGCCCTCGGCGAGGCGCAGCTGCTAGCAAGCATCCCGGGACTGGAAAACCGCCGAGAACCGACGAAAACGTCCGCAACCCTCGAACCTCGAACCGACGAAGACGTCCGAGAGCCTCGAGCCTCGACGTCCGAAGCCCTCCCTCTCGCTCCCCCCCCCTCGCTCGCCGCCGACGTGCGCCACCCGCAGCCCCCGCGCAGGCTGCCCTGGCTGCCGCCGCGCCCGCGGCCCCCGCGGCCCCCGCGGCCGCGCCCCCCGCGACCCCGCCGCGGGGCCAGGAGACGCCAGCGCGGGGGTAGCCTCTGGCGTTGGGACGGACCCTGGACGGCTGACGTCAGGCGATCGCAAACATGGATCAAGGGGGCGTGGATCAGCGACGGGTCACGTTTCCATGGGAAATAGCGAATTTCCGCCGCCGAGCCAGCTGGCACCGGCCGCATTTTGGGGAGGGCACCTCCCCCGGTCCATGGATTTGGCGACCGCGCCCCAAATCCATGGATTGCGAATCCGTGTTTGCGCGCTCCCGACGACTTGCTGAAGTCGAAGCCTGGGCCGCGTGAGCCCGTCCTTACATGCTTGTACCGATGCCCAGGGATTCGAGGATATAATGTCGCTCCGTCTGGTGTTCTTTTGCGCTGGATGTCGGCCTCTGGGGCCCGTCATCGGGCCCAGGGGCCGTCCCAGGACGAAGAAGCTCCCCTGGGGAAGGGGTCGGGACGACTGGGGCCCCGGCTTGAAGAAATCAGATCGGCGGATGTCTGGGTGCCTCTGTCCATGGCGTACCTTTTCCTGTGCAAGATCTTCGGCACCGCCTGCACTCCGCACCCTCCGGCCGCCTGAGGCCCCGCCCGCCCGCGCCCCGTCTCCCCAATCAGGGCTTCTCGCGCCCCGTTGAGCTCTTGACCGGAAGGGGCCCGCTCCCGACCCGCAGACCAAAAATGTTTGGGTGCCCTTCCCTGGCTTTCGACTTCTGTTCGGCCTCCCGCGGGGCCTTCGTCGTCGGGGCTGGAGTCGCGTCGGAATTCTGGTCAGGACGCATCCTGTGGGAGGTCCTGGGAGTAGCGGGCATCGGTGTACTTTGTGCCCCGATCCCCTCCCTCATTTCCCCGCTCCTTCCCCAACCGCCCCTTCCCGTCACCTCCCCTCTCTTTTCCTCCCTTCCCCGAATTGGGAGGGTCGGGATGGGCAGTTCCCAGAGGTTCTGGGATTTGTTCTCGCGGCTCCTCCGTTGCCAGGGTTGTTCAGGTTCGCCACGGTGGTCCACGGCGGCTTTTGAGGCCCAGGGTGCGCCCTTAGCCACGGGAAGTGAAGGTGACATGTTATGTTGCGCAGGCCTTGCGGCTGGCTGAAGTGGGCCGGAGTCCTCAGGGATGTTTTTTTGGGGTCTCCTCGGAAACTCTCTGCGGCCTCTGGGGAGGAATTTGGGGCCTCTGGGGAGGAGCATTTGGGGGATTTCCTGGGGACCTCGTGGGCTTCTTGGGAAACTCTTGGGACCTCCTGTGAGCCTCTCGGGGCCGAGGGCTCGAAATGTCCGTTCTGGTCCCCTGTCTGGGCACGCTCTTGGAGCCGTTTTCTGGTCCTTTAGGGCCGTCGTGGAGGCGTTTTGGGCTGAGGCCCAGGGTGCGCCCGTAGCCAAGGGAAAGGAAGATGATATGTTATATGTTGTTTGCCCACCTGCTCAGTGGGATTACTCCCAACCGTCCTGTGGTGCTGGGTCCTCGTTTTGAAGAGACAGCGCCCCGCGTTTTCCTCCTTCTCCTCCTCCCCATCCTCCCTCCTCCTTCCTCCTCCCCCTCCTCCCTGCGTTTCACCCACCCAGTACAGCGCTTCGTGGCCCCATAGGGAGCCCCACCGAAGGTCCCAGTGCTACCGTCCGCATGCGTCCCGCACACCCAGCACAGCGTTTCGTGGCCCTCCTCCCCCTCCTCCCTGCGCTTCACCCACCCAGCACAGCGTTTCGTGGCCCTCCTCCCCCTCCTCCCTGCGTTTCACCCACCCAGTACAACGTTTCGTGGCCCCATGGGGAGCCCCACCGAAGGCCCCAGTGCTACCGTCCGCATGCGTCCCGCACACCCAGTACAGCGTTCCGTGGCCCCAGAGGGAGCCCCACCGAAGGTCCCAGTGCCACCGTCCGCATGCGCCCCGCAAACCCAGCACAGCGTTTCGTAGCCCCATAGGGAGCTCCACCGAAGCCCCCAGTGGGACCGTCTGCTTGCGTCCCGAAACACCCAATTTGGTATTTCCACCCACCCAGTGCAGCGTTTCGTGTTCCCATAGGGAGCTCCACCGAAGGCCCCAGTGCCACCGGCCGCATGCGTCCCGAAAGCCCAATGTGGCATTTTCGCCCACCCAGTACAGCGTTTCGTGGCCCCATAGGGAGCTCCACCGAAGGCCCCAGTGGGAACACCCACATGCGTCCCGAAACACCCAATGTGGCATTTTCACCCACCCAGTACAGCCCTTCGCGGCCCCATAGGGAGCTCCACCGAAGGCCCCAGTGCCACCGTCCGCATGCGCCCCGAAAGCCCAATGTGGCATTTTCACCCACCCAGTACAGCGCTTCGTGGCCCCATAGGAAGCTCCACCGAAGCCCCCAGTGGGACCATCCGCATGCGTCCCGGAAACCCAATTTGGCACCACACACCCAGTACAGCGTTCCCCCGCACCCAGTGCAGCGTTTCGTGGCCCCATAGGGAGCTTCACCGAAGAAGGTATTCACAATTGCGGTACCCACAACTGCATATTGTTGGGTCATTCGCCAGGATAATTGTTTTTACTACCCGCGTCACTCGCCTCACCGCCTCACCTCTCCTCGCCACTCCTCCTCCGCGCTCATACACGCAACATTCTCGACGCCAGAGGGGGTGCGTAATTAAGGTCGTGGGGGCGCTGTACGTCGTACGCTCACAAAGCGTGGCAGGCGTGGCACTTCCTGGACACCAGAGAGGGTGCGAATGGGGTGGCGACGCTATCCATCATGACGTACGTTCGCCAAGCGTGGCAGGCGTGGCATTTCTTGGACACCAGAGGGTGTGCGCAGGCAGTGGGGGCGCTATCCGTCGTACGCTCGCAAATCGTGACAGGTGTTGCACTTTCTGGACACAGCAAGGGGTGCGCAGGGGGTGGTCCGTTAACGCGGCTTCTCTATCTACGCCAGGGTCGCAGGACGTGGCGGGCGTGGCAGGCGTGGCGCTTCATAGGCGCCGCAGAAGGTGCGCAGGGGGTGGTCCCTCAGCGCGGCCTCTATCCACGCCAGGGTCGAAGGGCGTCCCTCAGCGCGGCCTCTATCCACGCCAGGGTCGCAGGGCGTGGTAGGCGTGGCATTTCCTTGACACCACAGGGGTTGCGCAGGCGGGGGTCCCTCAGCGCGGCCTCTACTCTTGCCAGGGTCGCAAGGCGTGGCAGGCTTGGCGTTTCTTCTACGCGAGTGGGGGTTCTCAGGGGGTGAGCCCTCAGCGCGGCCTCTATCCACGCCAGGGTCGCAGGGCGTGGCAGGCGTGGCACTTCCTTGACACCGCAGGGGGTGCGAAAGGAGTGGTCCATCAGGGTGACCTCTAGCCACGCCAGGGTCGCAGGGCGGGGCAGGCGTTGCATTTCCTCGGCACCGGAGGCCATTTCCGCGGCAGGATGGCGCCCACCCCAGAGACTTTCGCGGCAGTATTCGTAGTGTTTGCAGTAAGTGTGGTAGTACCAGCACTCGTAGTCGTGGCACTAGTCGACGTAGTGGTGGCACTAGTAGTACCAGTGGTTTTATCAACCACGGGAGCAGCACAGGTAGTAATAAGAAATAGTAACACTAGCAGGTAGCAGCAGCAGTAGTAGTTGTAGTCGTAGTAGCAGTAGTTGTAGCTGTAGAAGTAGTAGTAGTAGTAGTAGTAGTAGTAGTAGTAGTAGTAGTAGTAGTAGTAGTAGTAGTAGTAGTAGTAGTAGTCGTAGTAGTAGTAGTAGTAGTAGTAGTAGTAGTAGTAGTAACAGTACAGTAACAGTAACAGTAACAGTAGTAGTAGTAGTAGTAGTAGTAGTAGTAGTAGTAGTAGTAGAAGTAGAAGTAGAAGTAGAAGTAGAAGTAGTAGTGGTGGTAGTAGTAGTCGCAGTAGTAGTAGTAGTAGTAGTAGTAGTAGTAGTAGTAGTAGTAGTAGTAGTAGTAGTAGTGGTCGTCGCCGTGGTACTAGTAGCAGTAGTAGTAGTAAGTAGTCAGCTGAAGTAGTAGTAGTGAGTAGTAGTAGTAGTAGTAATAGTAGCAGTAGTAGGAGTAGTAGTAGTTCGTAGTCGTAGTAGCGAGTCGTAACAGCAACATTGGCAGCAGGTAGTAGTAGTTAGTAGTAGTAGTTAGTGGTAGTAGTAGTCATAGTGTCGTAGTAGAGTAGTAGTAGTAGTGTAGTAGTCAGTAGTAGTAGTAATAGTAGCAGTAGTAGTAGTTCGTAGTAGTAGTAGTAGTCGTAGTAATAGTAGTAGGAGTAAAGTAGTAGTAGTAGTAGTAGTATTAGTAGTAGTGAGTTAGTAGTAGTCATAGAGTAGTAGTTACCACCAGTAGTAGTAAATAGTCAGTTAGTATAGTAGTAGTAGTAGGTTAAAGTAGTAAGTAGTAGAGTAGTAGTTAGTAGTCTCCTTAAAAAAAAAACCCCAAACTAGTAGTAGTAGTTAGTTAGTAGTTAGATTAGTAGTAACAGTAACAGTACCAGTAACAGTACACAAGATAACAGTAGCAGTAGTAGTAGTAGTAGAGTAGCTAGTAGTAGTATAGTATTAGTATAGCTAGTAGTACTAGTGTAGTAGCAGTAGCAGTATAGTAGTAGCAAGAGTAGTACTTAGTAGTAGTATTGAGTAGTAGTAGTAGTAGTCGTCAGTGTAGTAGTACTAGTACTAGTAGTAGTAGTAGTAGTAGTAGTAGTAGTAGAGGAGTAGTATTAGTACTCGTTGTACGAATAGTAGTCGTAGCAGTAGTAGTAGAAGTAGTAGTAGTAGTCGTCGTCGTAGTCGTCGTCGTGGTTTTTGAATTTGTGGCGACAGTAGCAGTAGTGGTGGTCGCAGCAGCAGCAGCAGTAGTAGCGGCAGTAGTAGTAGTGGTAGTAGTAGTAGTAGTAGTAGTAGTAGTAGTCGTAGTAGTAGTAGTAGTAGTAGTAGTAGTGGTAGTGTGGTAGCAGTAGTTAGTAGTAGTAGTCGTAGTCGTAGTAGTAGTAGTAGTAGTAGTAGTAGTAGTAGTAGTAGTAGTAGTAGTAGTAGTAGTAGTTGTGAAAGTAGTAGTAGTAGTAGTAGTAGTAGTAGTAGTAGTAGTAGT